AATAATAAAAATAAAACATAATAAAATAATTCTCACGACGTTTCGGCCACAACGCAAGCAGCCGTTGTGGCCGAAACGTCGTGAGAATTATTTTATTACTTCCCTTCTACGTGACTTTACCGAAAGAAACAAGAAGATGAATCCCTGCAGCCAAGAAAGCTTTAAATCGAAATTTATGTCATACTGATGACAATACTATATTCTTTCAAAAAAAAATTTTCAATACATTAATTTTTACATGTTATGTTTCGGCTTGGGTCTAATTGTCCACGCTCAACTCACGTTGGCTCTAAATCACCACGGCCCCTTACGTTGTGGCAAGCCTCGGGACCACTTCCTAGAGTCGTGGAGTTCTTCCATTACTCGTACGGTACATTTCATTAAAGCGTGTTTAAAAAATATATTTTTAAATATGACTTATTGTTTTGTTGAAGCACCCCTGTATTAACATCTGACGGTACCGCGAGGTGGGTCGTAGAGGGTGGAGGAGGGAGGGAGGGGTCCCCCAAAGTGCGGGGCCCGGGGCGGCCCCCCCCCCACACACCCCCGATTCGCATGTGTGGCTCAAACTATTGGGGAGGCGTCACGCGCCTCGACTCCGTTAAACCACGGGGGGGTTTAAAAAAAAATTCCCAAACCGACAAAGAATAAAAAAGCATAATCAACGTTTTTGGGTGAGATCGCGTTATTTATAAATGTGTCGTAACCCTCCACCACCCGACACGGCCAATCAGCAAAAAAGTGCGAATTACCCGATGATGCTGGATGCAATTACCAGCGAAACGTTGTACTACTCAAAAATTGTTAATGTTGTGGTTTCACGCTTCAACACACCGGGGGGGCTAAAGTAGTGAACTATTTTGTCTTTTGTCAACGTGACACTTTTTTTGCTGATTGGCCGTGTCGGGTGGTGGAGGGTTACGACACATTTATAAATAACGCGATCTGAACCCAAAAACGTTGATTATGAATAATATTGGTCGCGAAAGCCTGCTACGTGTTAATAAAAAAAGCATTCGGGAAGAACAAAAGAAAAAAAAAACTTGGCAGGTGAACAAATATAGTTTAATAATAACATTATAATAATAATAAAGGCATTTAAAAGACACATTTTAAAAATATGCGTTCCCTCTCTTTTTTAATATAATACACAAAACTGACCCCCCCCCCGCCTGGCCCCACCCCCCCAGCCCCCCCCCCCATCTGACCCCGCCCCCCGCCTGGCCCCACCCCTGCGGGGAGCTGTCCAACAGAGCGACAGCCATAGAAGCACCACAACCAACAACAACAACGACAACAACCAACAACAACATTAAACCTGGGAGATTTCCACATGGTGGGAAGGGGTGGGGGGTGGGGGTGGGGGGAGGGGGGCGGGGGAGGTGGTCGAGGCAGAGGTTGCAATCAGGTACCCGATACCCGTACCCTACCCGATACCCGGCTACCAGTACCCAGCCGGGTACGGGTACGGGTAGGCCGTGAGTCACTGGTGAGTCACCGTTTGTCACTCATTTTGGGTAGGGTACGGGTACGGGTAGGGAACGTGTACCCGTACCCGGCCGGGTACCCGTACCCAGGTACGGGTATGGGTACCCGTTTGCGACCCTGGTGTGGCCGGGTACGGGTAGGCCGTGAGTCAATGGTGAGTCACCGTTTGTCACTCTTTTCGGGTAGGGTACGGGTAGGGAACGGGTACCCGTACCCGGCCGGGTACGGGTACAAGTACCCATTTGCGACCCTGGTGCGGCCGGGTACGGGTACGGGTAAGGAATCAAAACCCGTTTGCGACCTCTGGGTGGAGGGTGTCAAAACCCGCCCCCAAATCAACCCCTATCAAGCACCGGAGTATAAATCACGTGGGTTCCTCCCGTCACCCCATCGCCCCATCCATCCATCCACCACCACTACCACCACCACTACCACCACTTAAACGCACCCGCCAGCTCGTCTCTCTCTCTCTCTCTCAGCTGAGATTCAGTCGCCCTGCGCGTCTGTCTTCATCAGCGCCGTTCACCCCCGAGAGCTCCAGTTCAGCCCTCCTCGCTTCTTACAAAAAATAAAGACGCGCGCGTGTGTGTGTGTGTATAGATGTATACAGACACCCGCTTGTGTGCTCTCTGAGATTCACTCGATGACGATGGTGGCGGTGGCGGTGGTGGTGGTGGCGGTGATGGTGGTGGTGGCGGTGATGGTGGTGGCGGTGATGGTGGTGGTGGCGGTGATGGTGGTGGTGGCGGTGGTGGTGGTGGTGATGGTGGTGGCGGGTGATGGTGGCGGTGATGGTGGTGGCGGTGATGGTGGCGGTGATGGTGGCGGTGATGGTGGTGCTGGCGATGATGGTGGCGGTGATGGTGGTGATAGTGGTGATGGCGGTGGCGTTGATGGTGGTGGCGGTGATGGTGGTGCTGGCGATGATGGTGGCGGTGATGGTGGTGGCGGTGATGGTGGCGGTGATGGTGGTGCTGGCGATGATGGTGGCGGTGATGGTGGTGATAGTGGTGATGGCGGTGGCGTTGATGGTGGTGGCGGTGATGGTGGTGCTGGCGATGATGGTGGCGGTGATGGTGGTGGCGGTGATGGCGATGGCGGTGGTGGTTGTGGGGAGCGGTTAGTGCACTGCGCCTACGAACCCGGCAAAGCCCTGAGTTGGCTTCACGCTCACGGCCACCAAACACCGGTGACGATTGTCTGAGACGATCCTGGGTCTGCCCCCTAGGTCGACTCAGCCTCCAAACGAGTACCCAGTGTGGCGCGTAGTAAACATCGCCGACTGGGGAGACAAAGGCGGCCGGGCGTAGTGCTGGCCACCCACCCACCTCGTGTGCCGTGCTAGCCCTCATAGGCGATTCTCGCTAAACAGCACTTTCTCCATAACGCATGTTCATGTAAACCCTTTCCCGTTCCAATGACGTGCTTAACCCTTTCCCGTTCTGATGACGTACTTGTACGTCTTAAAAATAAAAAAAACGGAAGAAAAACTGAAATTAAATAACTTCACCAGTCTTCTTGGTTCTTTCGGTAAAGTCACGTAGAAGGGAAATGATAAAAGATTAAAATAAAACATAATAAAATAATTCTCACGACGTTTTGGCCACAACGCAAGCAGCCACAACGCAAGCAGCGTTATGTTTTATTTTATTATTTTATTACTTTCTTTCTACGTGACTTTACCGAAAGAACCAAGAAGATGAATCCCTGCAGTCACGAAAGAAGCTTTAAATCGAAATTTTATTCTTTCATTTTATTATTTTATTATTTCCCTTCTACGTGACTTTACCGAAAGAACCAAGAAGATGAATCCCTGCAGTCACGAAAGAAGCTTTACATCGAAATTTAACTTCACCAGTACCGAGGCTCCCACAAAGACCTTGCGGGAGGGACATGTGGCACAGTTTCTGGGCCGTGACGCTTCGGTTCTCTGCGGCGAAGACAACATCGCTGGAAACACGACGGCGTTGCCGCTGCCACGAGCTCGCCTCTCTCGAAATGAAATGAACTGCGAGGATCGGCGGGTGAACGAGACACAGCCCACCCACCCAGCCGCCCGCCCACCCAGCCACCCAGCCAGCCAGCCACCCACCCAGCCAGCCAGCCAGCCAGCCAGCCACCCAGCCAGCCACCCAGCCAGCCAGCCACCCACCCAGCCAGCCACCCAGCCAGCCAGCCACCCACCCAGCCACCCAGCCAGCCAGCCAGCCAGCCACCCACCCAGCCAGCCACCCACCCACCCAGCCACCCAGCCACCCAGCCAGCCACCCAGCCAGCCAGCCACCCAGCCAGCCAGCCACCCAGCCAGCCACCCACCCACCCAGCCAGCCACCCACCCAGCCAGCCAGCCAGCCGCCCACCCAGCCAGCCAGCCAGCCACCCGGTGGTGGTGGGTGTTGCTGTGTTGTTGTGGTGGTGGTGGTTATTGCTTTGATGTTATGTGGTGGTGGTGGGTATTGCTTCGTCTTTGCGCAGCGTCTCGAGACTTTGACGAGTTGGGTGGCGGCGGCAGCGGCGGCGGCGTTGGGGGTTTCGTGTTCTGAGCCACCGTTGAATCGCATCATCCGATGTTCGGGTCGGGCCAAGCACAACGATGGACACGGGCCCACCGTCCGTGTCGTTAAAAACCCTCCACAGTGCCAGGGGTCGGGAACCTTTTTGACTGGGAGAGCCATAAAAGCCCAATATTTCTAAATATATTTCACTGAGAGCCATATAGTGATTTTTAACGTATAATAAATTAAATGTGTCTTACTTTTAATGCGACTTCTGGTGCTGCGTGGTTCTGCTGATGGCCTTGTGTAGTCTGGTTCGTACGACTTGGTGAGGTTGAGCTTCGTTGCAGGCGTGTGACCCGTGGAAATTTTACCTTCAAAACGAATTTCTGTTTACTTTAAAATGACACGGTATTATTAAGCAATATCACAAGTATTTTAAAATCAGTTCCAAACAGATTTTTTTTTTCAACTCAAAAAATTGTCTGGGAGCCATATGCCGTCACTGAAAGAGCCATATATATGGCTCGCGAGCCATAGGTTCCCGACCGCTGCTCCACACCAACCCGACCGCGGGAAAGGGAGATAGAGAGAGAGACGGTAAAAAAAAAAACCCGGTCGCGTGAAAAAAAGATCAAACATCGTTCGACGGATGCTGCTCGCAACGTCCAAGATGCCATTTCTCGTTCAGTCTGTGCCGGTCGAATTGGCGTGAGGCTCCCCTTCCACCACAGATCTTTTATCTTCTTGGTTCTTTCGGTAAAGTCACGTAGAATGGAAATAATAAAATAATAAAATAAAACATAATAATAATAATTCTCACGACGTGTCGGCATTCTACGTGACTTTACCGAAAGAACCAAGAAGATGAATCCCTGCAGTCACGAAAACTTTAAATCGAAATTTTACTATGTTTTATTTTTATTATTTTATTACTTCCCTTCTACGTGACTTTACCGAAAGAACCAAGAAGATGAATCCCTGCAGTCACGAAAGCTTTAAATCGAAATTTTATTATGTTTTATTTTTATTATTTTATTATTTCCCTTCTCCGTGACTTTACCGAAAGAACCAAGAAGATGAATCCCTGCAGTCACGAAAGCTTTAAATCGAAATTTTATAATGTTTTATTTTTATTATTTTATTATTTCCCTTCTACGTGACTTTACCGAAAGAACCAAGAAGATGAATCCCTGCAGTCACGAAAGCTTTAAATCGAAATTTAACTCGCCATCTGTTGGTTGCTGCTGCTGCTGCTGCGACTACCACGTTGTCTTAGCCCCCAGACAACGACGACCTGTTGGGGAGGCCGGAGAGGGGGGAGAAGAACGGCTCCGAAAAGCCCACCACGCGCACGTACGCACGCATCAACGTCAAACAACGATAACATGTAACACCGGGTGAACACGTGGCCTTCATGGCTCGTAGCGGGAGTGTTTTTTCTTTTTTTTTGGGGGGGGGGGGGGGGGTCAGCCCAAATGTTCGTTGTAAAGAAGCCTGCATAGGGCCCGACCGGCGAAACGTCGCCCGGATTTCCACACCGGGGCGCGAGCATTTGCTAGCGAGCGCGCCGGGAAATGCTGCGGAAAGATTACACTGGTCAACACACTTTTTCTGGCATAAGGTATTCCAACGGGTTTTTAAGGTAAGTTTGGGGTGCTGATTCCAAATCTGGCATCAGTTGTTGTCCATCACATCAGTTTTTTGAGATATCAAATATTGCATTTTCAATAAAAACTGCGGAAGAAAAATATTAAATGAATGTGGACATCTACATAAAATGATATTATGAACACACTATCCTAAAAATACAGCACCGCATTTTAACACTAAAGCAGTCACTGACTCGCAACAACAACTCGCAATCATAAGTGACAGAGTTAATTTCGGGTAAAATCAATAAAAATGGGGTATGGCGATAGCATCAAAATGAGATGTGATAGAGCAAATCTGAGATCAGATTTGGAATCAGCACCCTGAAATTAGTCTAAAACAGCTGCAAAAGTCCAGGCCAGAATTTTTTTTTTTTTGTTGACCAGTGTTATCGCGACCACGTTGGAAACAATGGAGGTGCATGCGGCATTTCACTTCGGACTGCACCGAGCGTCTCGCGCCGGCTTCCTGGAGTTACCCGAAGTTGCGTCGGATGCGAGTCGCAATTGTGTGTGGCAGGTGACACCGCCCGCCACATTCGCCGGAGTTCCGGTAGGTGAGAGATCGTTCTCTCAAACTGAACCGTTGAGCCGGTCGAAACGATCATTGTCGTTATTTACGATGCCCATGTTACGGGCGACGATTCAAAATCATTTCCGCCGGTCGGGTGTGGTTGGAGGCTTCTTAACGGCGTCAATTTGGCCCGAACCATTACAGGACGAGAAGGCGGCGGGGGGGAATGGGGGTGCCTAGCCCAAAAGTTCAATCGCGAATCGATTTTACGTCGTCGTCATCAACGCTCGTACCGTTTGCGTCCATCAACATTTATACCTTAAGACTAAATTATTATTACTTCGTAAAATATGCTTCCATCGGATGGGGGTGGTGGGGGTCGTGGGGTTCGTGGGGTTAGGGGGTAAACCGACGGGACACTACGGGGCTACTCACTCCACAAGGCTAGAGAGGTGGTGTGCATGTTCCTGCGGTACAAAACGTGACTCAAAACCCTGAGAGGGAAGAACGGGAGGGGTCCGGACGAAGGCATTCACCACTGGGGACCCCTCCAAGTGCTCAAGTGTGGGAAGATTACATCGTGAAGAGCTTTTTTGTGACAGAGAGAGAGAGAGAAAAACAAACACGTTTCTTTTTTTGTGCTTAAATACAAGAAACACGGCCATGGGACATTCAGAGCCGCGGCGCAGGCGAGGCCTTAGGCTTGCAGCCCTGCACAGCGCTTCATAGATGGCGCTTGGGGTACCTGGTCCCTTACGTTACCCTATATGGACCCACGTAGTCCTCGCCCCGTGAAGGCCTCACGCAGACCTCGCCTTGCGAGGCCTCGCCCAGGTCTTGTCGTGCGAAGGCCTCGCTCCGTGAGGCCTCGCCCAGGCCTTGCCTCGTGAGGCCTCGGGTAGGCCTCGCTGCGTGAGGCCTCGAGTAGGCCTCACCCATTCAAACCTCATGCAGGCTTCGCTCCGTGCAGGCCTTGCCCAGGCCTCGCCCCGTGAGGCCTAGGGTAGGCCTCGCCCATTCAAACCTCATGCAGGCTTCGCTCCGTGCAGGCCTCACCCAGGCCTCGCCCTGTGAGGACTAGGGTAGACCTCACCCCGTGAGGCCTAGGGTAGGCCTCGCCCATTCAAACCTAATGTAGGCTTCGCTCCGTGCAGGCCTCGCCCAGGCCTCATCCCGTGAGGCCTCGGGTAGGCCTCGCCCATTCAAACCTCGTGCAGGCTTCGCTCCGTGCAGGCCTCGCACCACCGCACGCACCCAGTCCCTCTTTGGCGCGTCACGCGTGAGAAGCGGCGCCTTCGTGGCTGCACCGGCGAGCCCTCTTCCTCCGCCGCACGCGGTGGGGGTCGGAGCGGCTCGCGCCGCGCGCCGCTCCGCGCCCGTCGTCGCGGCCGACTCCACCGTCGTCCTCATCGCCATCGCCATCATCGGCGGCGCTGTCGTCACCGTCACAGGGCCTGAACTGCCGCCGGTCGCCACCTTCCTCCCCCTCCTCCTCCGCCGCCATCGTCGCTGTCGTCGTCGGCGACCCCCGACCCTGGGACGAGGCCTCGGGGTCCGACGGTCTCCTGCGGCGGGCCGGCGCGATCGCGCTCTCCGCCTTCCTCCTCCTCTCCTCCTCCTCCTTCTCCTCCTTCTCCTCCGCCGCCTCCTCCTCCTCCTTGATCACTCGCTTCCACATCTCGTGGTTCTCCAGCAGGTGGTGCGTCAGGTGGCAGAAGTACTTGCGCGGGCGTTTCTTCTTCATTCGCTTGGCTGCGTCGGGCGACAGGAGACCGCGCGAGTGGCATGTGTGTGAGGCACGCGGTGAGCCCTAGAGCGGTGTTCTTAGGTTTTTTCGGTAAAATCACCATGTAGGTAAAACATTTAAATTAATAAAAGTAAAAAAAAAATCAATCACGACGTTTCGGAGGCAACACAAGCTTCCGTCTTCAGGTGGAACCGTCACAGCACGATAGCTGTATCACTTGATACTTTTACTTTGATTAATTAACATTTTTTACCTACGTGACTTTACCGAAAAAACCTAAGAATATGAATCCTTGCAGTCACGAAAGCTTCAAATCTAGAACCCTAGAGCGGTGTTCTCCATCGCAAAGCCTGCGGGCCCTGCTCTAAGCCTTCAGTGTCGGCCCCTGACCCACCCCACGGTCATCATCGTCGTCATCGTGCCGCTGGCAAGAGGCCAATGATTTCAAACGTGTGGCGGAGCCCCTCACGCTAACGATGTCTTGTCGGCGAAGGTGGCAAACCCCCCCCTCTGAAAATTTAACGGCAACGTCGCCCCTTTGCTACCCCTTGAAGGAGGATGTGGTCAAATCGATTGCCGGGCAGCGACGTCAACAACGTCGACATTTTTTGCGTCTTGATCATTTACGCTTGAACTATGCAGCTGCACGTTCAGCTGCCTAGACCTAATCCCTAACCCCAAACTCTATCTAACCCTTGAGCCAGTGGTTCTTAGCCTGGGGTGCACGCACCACACCCTGGAGGAGTGCGAGATGCCTCTCTAGGGGTGGGTGCAAGACATGGGCAGATCTTTTTTAAATCCTTTATATTAAGTTCACTTGCTTGCTTGCTTAGGACCGTGCAAATTTTTCGGTCGTTTTTTAACCCACTTCCCGTGATCCAATCGAGCTGACATTTTCCACACAGACTCGTTGTGCGTGACAATTAATGTTCGTGAAAAAAAAATTCCAAAATGTTACACTTTATAGGACAAAAATATTATATTTAATTACCAATTGCTTAATGCTGCCATGCAATCATCTGACCCATAGGTGGCAGCCATCTCAAGCCAGAGGACGAGAGGACTCTAGCCGCCACGCACATAAAGGATTTATAGTGAAAAACTTTGTTTTTACGGGTTATACTTGTTTTAGTCTCCCTACACCCGACGGTCCCCCACCTCGGTCACCCCATTAACGCGACAGTCTCTCAACTCGCTAACCCGTCGCGTCCAAGCGAGGCGGCAATGCGGCGTCGCCTACCGTGCCGCGTGTCGCCGTCCTCATCGCTGTCCTCATCCTCATCCTCCTCGTCCTCCTCGTCGACGTCCTCGTCGTCCGACGACTCGGACCGCCCCGCCTCGTCGGGGCCGCGCTCCACCCAGGCCCCCGGCATGAGGCCCGCCGAGTCGTACGAGCGGCACAGCGGCCCCACGATGTGCGTGATGAACGACTCCTGGAGCTTGGCGAGCTGCGGCGCCGTGCGGTCCATGAAGGGGCTCACGGGCAAACCCAGAGTCGCCTCCTCGTCGCCCTGACAACGGGAGGACAGAGACCCGAGGTTCCACCGCCACCGCCACCACCGCCACTGCCAGTAGGGTCACATACAAGACCGCCTGCCTCTGCCACAATGCCTTCAAATCCGCCTGCCCGCCGTACCTCTCTTCATTATTGACAACTTGCAGCTCAGCACACGGCAGATGCCTGCGCAGCGCGACTCACGACCTCCTCTTGATACCAAGATCCAGGATGGTCATCGTGTCTATGCGCGGCTTCTCGGTGGCAGCCCCAACAGTCTGGAGCGATGTCCCTCTGCACATTCGTAGCCATCACCTCAATCACCTCCTTCAAGAGACACTTAAAAACTCACCTCTACAACCACGTGCTTTTGAGCGACTCTGAGCTTGGCTCCGCGCCTCTGAGTTGCGGCCACTACGTCTGCAAATTTGCGCGCGTTACAAATTGAACTAGTATTATTACTACCAGCACCCGCCCGCCCGTCCCGTAATTAAATTTTTATTTAACGAGGTAAGAAGGCTCCACCGAGCTGCGTAGAGCTTGTTTTCAAAAGCGACCACCCCCCGCTCCCCTCCCACGGCTACCACGAACGACGGCTGCTCAAATGAAGTGGTGGCTCGTCATCGTCATTATCATTGTCGTCATCGTCGTCGTCATCGTCATCATCTTCGTCATCGTCATTGTCGTCATCATCTTCGTCATCATCATTGTCGTTATCGTCATCATCTTCGTCATCATCATTGTCGTCATCGTCATCATCTTCGTCGTCATCATCATCATCATCATTGTCGTCATCGTCATCATCTTCGTCGTCATCATCATCATCATCAATGTCGTCATCGTCATCATCTTCGTCGTCATCATCATCATCGTCATCATCATTGTCGTCATCATCTTCGTCGTCATCATCATCATTGTTGTCATCGTCATCATCATCATCATCGTCGTCGTCATCATCGTCGTCATCGTCATCATCGTCGTCGTCATCATCATCATCATCATCTTCGTCGTCGTCGTCATCATCGTCGTCATCGTCATCATCGTCGTCGTCATCATCATCATCATCATCTTCGTCGTCGTCGTCATCATCATCATCATCGTCGTCGTCATCGTCGTCATCATCATCATCATCGTCGTCGTCATCGTCGTCATCATCATCATCATCGTCGTCGTCATCGTCATCATCTTCGTCGTCGTCATTGTCGTCATCGTCATCATCTTCGTCGTCATCATCATCATTGTTGTCATCGTCGTTGTCATCATCATCATTGTTGTCATCGTCGTCGTCGTCAGTCATCATCGTCGTCGTCGTCAGTCATCATCGTCATCATCATCATCGTCGTCATCATCGCTATCATCGTCATCATCGTTGTCGTCATCGTGGGGTGGAAATTTATAAATTATAAAAATAAAAATTTATAAAAATAAAAATATAATAAAATAAAGATACAAATACTAATAAAATAATTGCCGGAGGGCGCTCGGGGAAAATTGGACGCGACCACGGGGAGAGAGACAGGAGACACGTCGCAAAAACTCCAAGTATACAGCAGCAGTATCAAAGTGATGACGAAAAAATACGTAAGAATACGTCTTTAAACCTGTTCCCGGTCATCGGCAAGTCCACTCAGCTCCACGTCCTCCTGTACCACACCACTCCATCTCTTCTCCAGCCCGTGCCGCGCCCGTTTAGCCCCCTCTATCCATCCGAACAAAAGCTGTTTTAGGCATGTGGTGGCTGGGCATGCGGGCTACATGACCCAGCCAACGCAGCCTCGCCTGCCAAAGGAGCTCACCGATGGGACTTTGTCCAGGTGCACACACACATACGCAAACTCCAAATGCTGTCCACTCTAGATTATCTGCGCTAATGATGGGGAGGTACAGCCGCGGAAAAATTCAAGATCGCGTATAACCCAAAAAATATTTCTATTTTCCGCAGATCTCTATGCCAAAAACCAGTAATATAGTTATATCTTCTTGGTTCTTTCGGTAAAGTCACGTGACTTTACCGAAAGAACCAAGAAGATGAATCCCTGCAGTCACGAAAGCTTTAAATTGAAATATAGTAATAGAGTAGTGATCGATGCGCGTGCTCAGTGACAACACTTTCCTGCTCCCGCCCAGCAGAAGACTGAGTGATTGACAGCAGCAGAGCGACAGCCAAATCAGCATCAATCAAAAACTCCTCCCCACTGTTGCAAAGATATTGCAACTACTGTACTGTAGGGTGATCGCGGGGATTCCGGATTCACCGGAGCACGCGCATTTGTTCGGTTTAAGCGCCGCGTGACTTGCAACAAACACCCCCAAGAACAGCAAACGCGCTCCTGTGTTTAGCCGCTTCATGTGGGCGTTCCACAGAGGTCGCAACCGGGTACCCGATACCCGTACCCTATCCGATACCCGGCTACCCGTACCCGGCTGGGTACGGGTAGCCGTTTGCGACCCTGGTGCGGCCGGGTACGGGTACGGGTAGGCCGTGAGTCACTGGTGAGTAACTGTTTGTCACTCATTTCCCAACGTCTTGTCTCTTCTCACAATTCAAGTTTCTAGAATCAACCCACCCGCGCCTGCAACATGGCTTCATCCCAGAGTTCGCAATCAGGTACCCGATACCCGTACCCTACCCGTACCCGGCCGAGTACGGGTAGGGTATGGGTACGGCCGGGTACGGGTACCCGTTTGCGACCCTGGTGCGGCCGGGTACGGGTACGGGTAAGGAATGAAAACCCGTTTGCGACCTCTGGCGTTCCATCGGAAAATCCACGCGGTGGCGATCCGTGTCAAAAATCTCAGCGTGTGCACGGTTCGTCCGCACACCGGATAAAACCCGCGCAATCGAGAGCGCCGCTGCGTGTAGAGTGTGTAGAGCGTGTAGAGCGTGTAGAGCGGGGAGGGCGAGCAAGCGGGGAGGGCGAGCGAGCGGGGAGGGCGAGCGAGCGGGGAGGGCGAGCGAGTGGGGAGGGCGAGCGAGCGGTGAGAGCGAGCGAGCGGTGAGAGCGAGCGAGCAGTGAGAGCGAGCGAGCGGGGAGGGCGAGCGAGCGGTGAGGGCGAGCGAGCGGTGAGAGCGAGCGAGCGGTGAGGGCGAGTGAGCGGTGAGAGCGAGCAGTGAGAGCGAGCGAGCAGTGAGAGCGAGCGAGCGGGGAGGGCGAGCGAGCGGTGAGAGCGAGCGAGCAGTGAGAGCGAGCGAGCGGTGAGAGCGAGCGGTGAGAGCGAGCGAGCAGTGAGAGCGAGCGAGCGGTGAGAGCGAGCGGTGAGAGCGAGCGAGCGGTGAGGGCGAGCGGTGAGAGCGAGCGAGCGGTGAGAGCGAGCAGTGAGAGCGAGCGAGCGGTGAGAGCGAGCGAGCAGTGAGAGCGAGCGAGCGGTGAGAGCGAGCGGTCAGAGCGAGCGAGCGGGGAGGGCGAGCGAGCGGTGATTGCCACCTGCTGGTAGAACTCGTTCACGATGCCCGTGGTCCAGCGCAGGTGCAGGTCCCGGATCTTGGCCGGCCCGTTGATGTCCGCCAGCTTGATGCACATCTGGCAGACGAGGAGGCGGTCGTTCTCCTGGCTCCAGTCGATGCCCGTGCCGTCCGCGCCGCTCACCTGCCGAGGACGAGGGGAGGCGGTGGAGGGGAGGTGGGGAGGGAGGGGATGGAGGGAGTAGAGGGGAGGTGGGGAGGGAGGGGATGGAGGGAGTGGAGGGGAGGGAGTAGAGGGGAGGTGGGGAGGGAGGGGATGGAGGGAGTAGAGGGGAGGTGGGGAGGGAGAGAATGGAGGGAGTGGAGGGGAGGGAGTAGAGGGGAGGGAGTAGAGGGGAGGGAGGGAATGGAGGGAGTGGAGGGGAGGGAGTAGAGGAAATGGATGGAGTGGAGGGGTGGGAGTGGAGGGGTGGGAGTGGAGGGGTGGGAGTGGAGGGGTGGGAGTGGAGGGGAGGTGGGGAGGGAGGGAATGGAGGGAGTGGAGGGGAGGGAGTAGAGGGGAGGGAGTAGAGGGGAGGGAGGGAGTGGAGTGGAGGGAGTAGAGGGGAGGGAGTGGAGGGGAGCCGGGGAGGGAGGGGATGGAGGGAGTAGAGGGGAGGGAGTGGAGGGGAGGGAGGGAGAGGGGAGGGAGGGGAGGGAGGGAAAGGAGTGGAGAGAGTGGAGGGAGTGGAGGTGGTGGAGGGGATGTAGTAGAGGGGAGGGAGTAGAGGGGAGGGAGGGAGTGGAGGGGAGCCGGGGAGGGAGTAGAGGGGAGGGAGTGGAGGGGAGGGAGAGGGGAGGGAGCGAGTGGAGTGGTGAGAGTGGAGAGAGTGGAGTGGTGAGAGTGGAGGGGAGCCGGGGAGGGAGTAGAGGGGAGGGAGTGGAGGGGAGGGAGAGGGGAGGGAGAGAGTGGAGTGGTGAGAGTGGAGAGAGTGGAGTGGAGGGAGTGGAGGGGAGCCGGGGAGGGAGTAGAGGGGAGGGAGTGGAGGGGAGGAAAAGGAAAGAGGGAGGGGAGTGGAGGGGAGGGAGAGGAGGGAGTGGAGGGAGGGAAGGGAGGGGAGGGAATGGAGGGGGGAGGGAGTAGAGGGAGGGAATGGAGGGAGGGAGGAGAATGAGTAGAGGGAAGAGAGGGAGGGAGAATAGGCAGGGAAGGAAGGGAGGGAGGGGAAGGGATGGAATGGAGGGAGGGATGGGAGGGAGGGGAGGGACGGAGGTCAAGACAGTGACACCCACCGTATAGCCCACATGGACTGTAGGGGCAAGTGCTGTTAGCGAGCACCTATGAAGGCCGGCACGGCACACGAGGGGGTGGGTGGCCAGGACCACGCCCGGCCGCCTTTGTCTCCCCAGCGGCGATAGTTACACACAGCACGAGGTACTCATTTGAGGCTGAGTCGACCTAGGGGAGGCTCTGGACCGGTTCAAATAATCCTCACTGATGTTGACCGTGAGCGGGGATCGAACCCGCGTCGACAGGTTCGTAGCGCAGCGCGCTACACTGCACTGCCGCTCCCCACCACGCACACACAAACACACACATACACACACACATACACACACAGTGACACACACACACAGTGAGACACGCACAGTGACACACAAAGATAAAAAGATAAAGATCCCCCGTATAGCCTGAACAGACTGTAGGGGCAAGTGCTGTTAGCGAGCACCTATGAAGGCCGGAACGGTACACGAGGGGGTGGGTGGCCAGCACCACGCCCGACCGCCTTTGTCTCCCTAGTGGCGATGTTTACACACCACACCAGGTACTCATTTAAGGCTGAGTCGACCTAGGGGAGGCCCAGGACCGGTTCAGATAATCGTCACTGGTGTTAGCCGTGAGCGGGAATCGAAACAGTGACACACACACACAGTGACACACACACAGTGACACACACACACAGTGACACACACACAAACACACACATACACACACACATACACACACAGTGACACACACACACAGTGACACACACACAGTGACACAAACACACATTGACACACAGTGACACACTCACACAGTGACACACACACAGTGACAAACACACACAGTGACACACACACACAGTAACACACACACAGTGACACACACACACAGTAACACACACAGTGACAAACACACAGTGACACACACACAGTTACACACACACACAGTTACACACACACAGTGACAAACACACACAGTGACACACACACACAGTAACACAGTGACAAACACACAGTGACACACACACAGTTACACTTACACAGTGACACACACACAGTGACACAAACACACAGTGACACACAGTGACACACTCACACAGTGACACACACACAGTGACAAACACACACAGTGACACACACACACAGTAACACACACACAGTGGCACACACACACAGTAACACACACAGTGACAAACACACAGTGACACACACACAGTTACACACACACAGTTACACACACACAGTGACAAACACACACAGTGACACACACACACACAGTGACACACACACAGTGACACACACACACAGTAACACACACACAGTGACAAACACACAGTGACACACACACAGTTACACACACAGTGACACACACACACAGTGACACACACACAGCGACACACACACAGTGACACACACACACACACAGTGACACACACACACTGACACACACACAGTGACACACACACAGTGACACACAGTGACACACACAGTGACACACACACAGTAACACACACACAGTGACACACACAGTGACACACACACAGTGACACACACACAGTGACAAACACACAGTGACAAACACACAGTGACACACACAGTGACCCACACACAGTGACACACAGTGACCACACACCAGTGACACACAGGACACACACACACAGTGACACACACACAGCGACACGCACACACAGCGACACACACACAGTTACACACACACAGTGACACACACACAGTGACACACACACACAGTAACACACACACAGTGACAAACACACAGTGACACACACACACAGTAACACACACACAGTGACACAAACACACAGTGACACACACCACAGTGACACAAACACACAGTGTAACACACACACAGTAGCACACACACAGTGACACACACACACACAGTGACACACACAGTGACACACACACACACAGTGATACACACACAGTGACACACACACAGTTACACACACACACAGTCACACACACACACAGTGACACACACACAGAGTGACACACACACACACAGTAACACACACACAGTGACACACACACACAGTGACACACACACAGTGACACACACACACAGTGACACACGCACACACAGTAACACACACACAGTGACACACACACACACAGTAACACACACACAGTGACACACACACACACAGTAACACACACACAGTGACACACACACAGTTACAGACATACAGTAACACACACACAGTGACACACACACACACACAGTGACACACACACAGTAGCACACACAGTAACACAACAACAACAACAACCGCCATTCGCCACTAAGTGGCGGTGACGTCACCACGATGCTTGTGCCAGGCCAAGTGCACCTTGAGGCCACGTGAAGTGTCGAAAGCCCGCTGGCAGGAGGTCACGGGGCAGACCCAGCAGGTGCCACGGGTCGACTGACCGAGATGACCGAGATGACTGGCTGATGCACCACCTGTGCCCCCTACTGTGCCAACTTGCTGTGCTTTAGCCACCCGGCGCTCCGCTCGTTGTTGTGAGCGTCGCTCCTCCGCCCTCCGTTGTTGTTGGAGGGCGACTGCCTCCAACTGCCCAGTAGCGTCCTTCACGAGCCTCCTCCACTGAGGCCGATCTTGACACCGCTGGTACCAGTCATCGGCAAGTCCACTCAGCTCCACGTCCTCCTGTACCACATCACTCCATCTCTTCTCCAGCCCGTGCCGCGCCCGTCTAGCCCCCTCGATCCGGCCGAACAAAAGCTGTTTAGGCATGCGGTGGCTGGGCATGCGGGCTACATGACCCAGCCAACGCAGCCTTGCCTGCCGGAGGAGCTCACTGATGGGACTTTGCCCAGATCTTTCAAGGATTTGTGAGCTCCTCACACAATCCAGCCTGGTTAAACCCAGGATGGATCGTAGGCAGGCCAGCCTAAATGTTTCCAACCGGCGAAGATGCTCCACCAGGGGGGTCCACGTCTCGCAAGCGTAGAGAAGGGAGGGAATGACCGTGGCCGAGAAGACCTGAAGCTTCGTGCGGAGCGACAGACCAGGTAGCTTCCACACAGCGTTACGCAACCGATGAAAAGATATTGCCGCTCGACTGATTCGGAGTGAGACCTCTGCTGATAGACTGGAGCCGGTCATAAGCACACTGCCCAGGTATGGGAAACTCTCCACTCTCTCCACAACTGCCCCATCACCAATTGGGAGTTGTGGGGGTGGAGTGTCCGATGGTACAAAATACCCAGGCAGGTGCTTGGTTTTGGTGGGGCTGATGGTAAGGCCCCACCTCTTAGTGGCACGCTCCAGTCTCAGCAGCAGCGCCTCCAACTCCTCTTCTGAATGAGCAGCTATTACCAAATCATCGGCATACATAACGTGGTTGACCAATAGGGAGCCATCCCTTGATCGCACCCGGGCGTCGATCAGCCTCCCATTATATCTGTACCAAACGGAAATTCCCCCGGTACAGCTATTGAAGGCTTCACGAACTACGCGGTCAAAATAGATGTTAAATAATGTGGGAGCCAGAGGACATCCCTGTCGCACCCCAAGGTGTACAGGGAAAGGCTCCGACTCCCGGCCACGTAGTTTTACCCGGGCCCGCTCACCATCATGAAGGTCCTTAATGATCGTGAGCAGAGGGTCAGGGACTCCGAAAGCACGAAGAACAACCCAGAGTCCAGTCCTACTGATGGTATCATAGGCCTTGACCAGGTCAATAAAGCAGAGATGTAGGTCTTTTTGGAATTCCCTACACCTCTGCTGTAGCAGACGGACAGAAAATATGGCATCTGTGCAGGACCGCCCTTTCCTGAAACCGCATTGGGGCTCCGCAAGCCCCTCCTCAGCGTGCCTAGCAAGGCGATGTTGAATAATCCTTGCCAGGACCTTACCCGGCACACTGAGGAGTGAGATGCCCCTGTAGTTGTTACAGTCTGTGCGGTCCCCCTTCTTAAAGAGGGGGACCACCAGGGCATCCTTCCAGTCCTGCGGAACCCGTCCAGTGGTCCAGACTGTTGTTATGATGTCATATAGGGCAGTCTGTGCACAAACGCCACCCTCCCTCAGCATTTCGCTTGGGAGATCATCTCTGCCCGGTGCCTTCCCTGGTCTCAGACTCCGGATCGCCCTCAGTACTTCCTCAACAGCTGGAACCTCAGCCAGCCACTCACAGGGGGTGACCTCTTCCAATATTTGAGGCACCGCAGCCTCAGCAGGGTTATCCCCACTTTGTGCCATGATGTTTTCCTGGCTGAGAGAATTTCCCTCCCCCAGGACCTCACAGAAATGCTCAGCAAATCTGCAAACCTGTTCCTGGGGGTCGGAGATTGGATCACCGTTTTTTCCTCTAATGATGGTAATAGGTGTGGCGCTGCAGGTTACTTTTTTGATGGAGTTAAATAGTGATTTGTGATCACGGGCCACTGAGGCAGACTCCATCTCCTCAGCAACCCGCGACCACCACCCATCCTTACAACGCCTTACGGCTCTCCGAACTTCCGAGCGAAGGCTGCGGTAAACCTCCTCATTCTCTGACGTGGGATGCTGTAGGCGATGAGAGTGGGCCTGTCGCTTTTTCTCAATTAACCTGAACACCTCCTCTGTCAGCCAGGGTTTCTGGGGAGGTCTGGACCGCGTACCCAAAGCAGCCATTGCAGCTGCATGAGTCACAGTCCTTAAACCTCGCCCATTTACCCTCGACATCAGGTGGAGTGGGGGACGATGCCAACCCCAGCTGCAAGCGATGATGAAATTCTCGCTTGCAACTTTCATCAGCTAACTGAGACCAGGCCACTTTTGGTTGGAATGGGATCCTGGGTGTACACCCACCACCGGAGTGGAAGAAAGGCAGGCGCATCTTACAGATGACTAGTCGATGGTCAGAGGACAGATCAGCTCCACGGTAGGTCCTGGTGTCAAGGACATGGGTTCGCATCCGCTGGTCCGTCACTATGTAGTCCAGCAGATGTTCTTGCTTGGACCCGGCATGTATCCATGATGTTGTGTGGATGCGCCGATGCCGGAAGAGCGTGTTGGTAATTACAAGCCCATGGGCTGCACAAAAATCTAGCAGCCTCCTACCGTTATTATTGAGCTGATCTGGCCCATGCCTTCCAATCACTCCAGACCAGGTGTCAGCATCATGACCAACTCGGGCATTGAAGTCACCCAACAAGATGACTCTGTCCCGAGTGGCCACTTTAGCCAGCACCTGTGACAGGAGGTCATAGAAAGCGTCTGACTCATCGGCTTTGCTTGCATCCCTCCACGGATGTTCGTCTTCGGTGGGGGCATAAGTAACCACGACCACCACTCCTCGCCTCTGGTTGATGGGAAGGCGAGCCCAAAGTATCCTGGGGCTTACAGCTTCCCACACCTCACCGCCACGCTCCCACGCCCCCTTCATTCTTTTGTTCAGAAGAAGAGCCACACCCTGTTGTTTGGCAGTCTCCTGCCCCGAGTAGAGGACTGTCCACCCCTCATGGTGGCAGGAGCCAGAACCGGTCCACCGGACCTCCTGAATGCCACAGAGATCCAGGCGGTACCGGTCCAGCTCCCGACAGAGGAGTGGCAGCCTCTCCTCCGCAGTGAGCGTTCGAACATTCCACGTGGCCATCCGCAATGGTTTTTTGTTGTTTCTGGAGGAGCCCCGAGGGTGAAAATTCAATCTCCTGGCTCCGCCAAATGGGGTTTGGCCAGGAGACGTCATAAAAGCCTGACCCCCCGGGGCCTCCGGCACAAGCTTATTTGTTACAGGTTTATGTTTAATTCGTGGTTTAGTGGTAATGAATTGAAGGTGGAGGGGTTACCAGCCCCTCACACCCGTCCAGAGCCCCCGTTTAGCCACTGTGGTGGTCACAGTAACACACACACAGTGACACACACACAGTGACACACACATACACAGTGACACACAGTAACACACACACACACACAGCGACACACACCCACACACAGCGACACACACACAGCGACACACACACACACAGCGACACACACAGTGACACACACACACACAGTGACACACACACAGTAACACACACACAGTGACACACAGTGACACACAGTGACACACACACACACAGTAACACACACACACACACAGCAACACACACACACACACACAGCGACACACACACACACAGCGACACACACACACACAGCGACACACACAGTGACACACACACACACACACAGTGACACACACACAGTAACACACACACAGTGACACACACATACACAGTGACACACAGTGACACACACAAGACAAAGACAAAGATCCCCCGTATAGCCTGAACAGACTGTAGGGGCAAGTGCTGTTAGCGAGCACCTATGAAGGCCGGAACGGTACACGAGGGGGTGGGTGGCCAGCACCACGCCCGACCGCCTTTGTCTCCCTAGTGGCGATGTTTACACACCGCACCAGGTACTCATTTAAGGCTGAGTCGACCTAGGGGAGGCCCAGGACCGGTTCAGATAATCGTCACTGGTGTTTGCCGTGAGCGGGAATCGAACTCGGGTCGCCAGGTTCGTAGCGCAGCGCGCTAACCGCTACACCACCGATCCCCACACACACACAGCGACACACACACACAGCGACACACACACACACAGTAACACACACACACACACACAGCAACACACACACACACACAGCGACACACACACACACAGCGACACACACAGTGACACACACACACACACACAGTGACACACACACAGTAACACACACACACAGCGACACACACACACACACACACGTGGCAGGCAACCTTGGCGTTGAACTCGGCGAGGAAGTCAAAGTGCTTCTTGAGGTCGGTGGCGAGGATGGCTTCGATCACGAGGAATCGGAACCTCTTGAACTCCGCGTGGCACAGCCCCGGCAGGAAGTTGAACTCGGGCCGTGACATCAGCAGGTGCCAGGCTGCCGCTGCGTGGTGGTTCTCTAGCACCGAGCGGTCGTTGTACAGCACGGCCTAGGGCAGGGGTCGGGGAACCTTTTTGACTGGGAGAGCCCTGAAAGCCAAATATTTCTAAATATATTTCATCGAGAGCCATGTAGTATTTTTAACTCTAGATTTGAAGCTTTCGTGACTGCCAAGGATTCATATTCTTAGGGTTTTTTCGGTGAAGTCACGTAGGTAAGACATCAAAATTAATAAAAATAAAATAAAATAAAGATCACGACGTTTCGGATCTTTATTTTATTTTATTTTTATTAATTTTTATGTTTTACCTACGTGACTTTACCGAAAAAACCTAAGAATAGTATTTTTAACGTATAATAAATTCAATGTGTCTTACTTTTAATGCGACTTCTGATCACGGGACCCGTGACCCGAGAAATTTTATTTTCAAAAACTAATTTCTGTTTACTTTAAAATGACACAGTATTATTAAGCGATATCACAAGTATTTTAAAATCAGTTCCAAACTGATTTTATTTTTTTATTATTATTTTTTTCAACTCAGAATTGTCTGGGAGCCAATATGCCGTCAGCGGAAGAGCCATATATGGCTCGCGAGCCATAGGTTTCCGACCGCTGGCCTAGGGGGGTGAGCACAAAGGCGGAGGATTACGGACCCCCGTGTAGCCCGCGCGCGACGACGGGGCAAGTGCAGTTGGTCCGGGAGGGAGGCCCGGGACCAGGTTGCAATATTCGATGGTGATGTTGGGCCCCTGAGCCAGGAGTGAGCGGGCGAGCGAGCGGGCGAGCGAGCGGGCGAGTGAGCGGGCGGGTGAGCGGGCGAGTGAGCGGGAGAGTGAGCGGGCGAGTGAGCGGGCGGGTGAGTGGGCGGGCGAGTGAGCGGGCAAGTGAGCGGGAGAGTGAGCGGGCGAGTGAGCGGGAGAGTGAGCGGGCGAGTGAGCGGGCGGGTGAGTGGGCGGGCGAGTGAGCGGGCGAGTGAGCGGGCGAGTGAGCGGGCAGGTGAGTGGGCGGGCGGGTGAGCGGGCGAGTGAGCGGGAGAGTGAGCGGGCGAGTGAGCGGGCGGGTGAGCGGGCGGGCGAGTGAGCGGGCGAGTGAGCGGGCGGGTGAGCGGGCGAGTGAGCGGGAGAGTGAGCGGGAGAGTGAGCGGGCGGGTGAGTGGGCGGGCGAGTGAGCGGGCGAGTGAGCCGGCGAGTGAGCGGGCGGGTGAGCGGGCGGGTGAGCGGGCGAGTGAGCGGGCGGGTGAGCGGGCGAGCGAGCGGGCGGGCGAGCGAGCGGGCGAGCGAGCGGGTGAGCGAGCGAGCGGGTGAGCGGGGCGTCGCGAGTGAGTGAGCGGGCGAGTTGGCGGGCGTGGCGTACCTGCGGGGCGCTGGTGGCCACCAGGAAGGCGTTGGTGCGGCCCGGGTGGTCGTAGTCGTGCATGGCGGCCGCCACGTACAGCGCCATCAGCTCCAGCGCGGGGATGACCGACGCCAGGCACCCGTACCCCGACTCCGTGTCGCCCGCCTGCCACTCGGAGGACCCCGACTCCACGTCTCCCGTCGCGCCCCAAGTGCGCGACTTTGTGAACGCTGCACCACGAAAACGACGACAACAACAACGTTGCTGTGATCATTGTTTTTTACCCTTTTATCTGGCAACGAAATGTATGCACTGTCCTTGAAGTTGATTGGTCCACACCCGAGACAGCTTTCCTTAAAGCCTAGTCTCACATGGGTTGGACCAGATGACGCCAAAAGGCGCACAACGTGCTCCCCACGTGCTCCCCGCGCGCTCCCCGCGCGCTCCCCGCGCGCTCCCCGCGCGCTCCCCACGCGCTCCCCACGCGCTCCCCACGCGCTCCCCACACGCTCCCCACGCGCTCCCCACGCGCTCCCCACACGCTCCCCGCGTGCTCCCCGCGTGTTCCCCGCGTTGTTCCCGCGTACGGACCGGCCGTGTCGTCCGGGTCGCGGGGGACCTCGGGGAATCCGGGGATGGGCTGCGTGGTGAGGTACCACACGGCGTGGAGCACGTCCGTCGCGTGGATTCGGTTGTGGTCTAGAGCCACAAACAACAACAACAACAACCACACCACAGGATAAAGTCAACAACAGCACGGACAACAACCACGTCAACAACACCAATAACAACAACCACGTCAACAACAACAACCACAGGATGAAGTCAACAACAGCACGGACAACAACCACGTCAATAACAACAACAATAACAACCACAGGATGAAGTGAACAACAGCACAGACAACAACCACGTCAACAACACCAACAACAACAACCACACCACAGGATGAAGTCAACAACAGCACAGACAACAACCACGTCAACAACAACAACAACAACAACCACACCACAGGATGAAGTCAACAATAGCACGGACAACAACCACGTCAACAACAACAACAACCACAGGATGAAGTCAACAACAGCACGGACAACAACCACGTCAACAACAACAACAATAACAACCACAGGATGAAGTCAACAACAGCACGGACAACAACCACGTCAACAACAACAACAACCACACCACAGAATGAAGTCAACAACAACACTGACAACAACCACGTCAATAACAACCACAGGATGAAGTCAACAACAGCACGGACAACAACCACGTCAACAACAACAACAACAACAACCACGTCAACAACAACAACCACAGGATGAAGTCAACAACAGCACGGACAACAACCACGTCAATAACAACAACAATAACAACCACAGGATGAAGTGAACAACAGCACAGACAACAACCACGTCAACAACACCAACAACAACAACCACACCACAGGATGAAGTCAACAACAGCACGGACAACAACCACGTCAACAACAACAACAACAACCACAGGAAGAAGTCAACAACAGCACGGACAACAACCACGTCAACAACAACAACAACAACCACAGGATGAAGTCCACAACAGCACGGACAACAACCACGTCAACAACAACAACAACAACCACAGGAAGAAGTCAACAACAGCACGGACAACAACCACGTCAACAACAACAACAACAACCACAGGATGAAGTCCACAACAGCACGGACAACAACAACAACAACAACCACACCACAGGATGAAGTCAACAACAGCACAGACAACAACCACGTCAACAACAACAGCTCCGAGCATTAAAACTGGTCCCTTGCTGCGCATTCAAATGAGATGCAAACGAGATGCAAATGAGATGCTAATGACGATATGATAATGCTACCGAGGATATGTTAATAAAAATATGCTAATTAGGAAATGCTAATGAGATGCTAATGACGAGATGCTACTGAGCAGAAAATAATGATGAAATGCTAATGAGGAGATAGGAGATGCTACTGAGGAGATGCAAATGAGGACATGCTAATGAGGACATGCTAATGAGATACTAATGAGGAGATGCTAATGAGGAGATGTTAATGATGAGATGGTAATGAGGAGGTGCTAATGATGAGATGCTCATGAGTAGATGCTCATGAGGAGATACTAATGAGGAGATGCTAATGATGAGATGCTAATGATGAGATTCTAATGATGAGATGCTAATGATGAGATTCTAATGATGAGATTCTAATGATGAGCTTCTAATGATGAGATGCTAATGATGAGATTCTAATGATGAGATGCTAATGATGAGATACTAATGAGGAGATGCTAATGATGAGATGCTAATGATGAGATTCTAATGATGAGATGCTCATGAGTAGATGCTCATGAGGAGATATTAATGAGGAGATGCTAATGATGAGATGCTAATGATGAGATTCTAATGATGAGATGCTAATGATGAGATTCTAATGATGAGATTCTAATGATGAGCTTCTAATGATGAGATGCTAATGATGAGATTCTAATGATGAGATGCTAATGATGAGATACTAATGAGGAGATGCTAATGATGAGATGCTAATGATGAGATTCTAATGATGAGATGCTAATGATGAGATTCTAATGATGAGATTCTAATGATGAGATTCTAATGATGAGATTCTAATGAGGAGATGCTAATGATGAGATGCTAATGATGAGATTCTAATGATGAGATACTAATGATGAGATTCTAATGAGGAGATTCTAATGATGAGATTCTAATGATGAGATTCTAATGATGAGATTCTAATGATGAGATTCTAATGATGAAATTCTAATGATGAGATTCTAATGATGAGATTCTAATGATGAGATTCTAATGATGAGATGCTGATGATGAGATTCTAATGATGAGATTCTAATGAGGAGATTCTAATGATGAGATTCTAATGATGAGATTCTAATGATGAGATTCTAATGAGGAGATTCTAATGATGAGATTCTAATGATGAGATTCTAATGATGAGATGCTAATGATGAGATTCTAATGATGAGATACTAATGAGGAGATGCTAATGAGGAGATGCTAATGATGAGATTCTAATGATGAGATTCTAATGATGAGATTCTAATGATGAGATACTAATGAGGAGATTCTAATGATGAGATTCTAATGATGAGATGCTAATGATGAGATTCTAATGATGAGATTCTAATGAGGAAATTCTAATGATGAGATGCTAATGATGAGATGCTAATGATGAGATGCTAATGAGGAGATGCTAATGATGATATTCTAATGATGAGATTCTAATGATGAGATTCTAATGATGAGATTCTAATGATGAGATGCTAATGATGAGATTCTCATGATGAGATTCTAATGATGAGATTCTAATGATGAGATTCTCATGATGAGATTCTAATGATGAGATGCTAATGATGAGATGCTAATGAGGAGATGCTAATGATGAGATTCTAATGATGAGATTCTAATGATGAGATTTTAATGATGAGATTTTAATGATGAGGTGCTAATGATGAGATTCTAATGATGAGATTTTAATGATGAGATTCTAATGATGAGATACTAATGAGAAGATGATAATGAGGAGATGCTCATGAGGAGATACTAATGAGGAGATGCTAATGATGAGATGCTAATGAGGAGATGCTAATGAGGAGCTTCTAATGATGAGATTTTAATGATGAAATTCTAATGATGAGATACTAATGATGAGCTTCTAATGATGAGATTCTAATGATGAGATTCTAATGATGAGATGCTAATGATGAGATTCTAATGATGAGATTCTAATGATGAGCTTCTAATGATGAGATTCTAATGATGAGCTTCTAATGATGAGATTCTAATGATGAGATTCTAATGATGAGATGCTAATGATGAGCTTCTAATGATGAGATTCTAATGATGAGATTCTAATGATGAGATGCTAATGATGAGATTCTAATGATGAGATTCTAATGATGAGATTTTAATGATGAGATTCTAATGATGAGATGCTAATGAGGAGATGCTAATGATGAGATGCTAATGATGAGATGCTAATGATGAGATGCTAATGAGGAGATGCTAATGATGAGATTCTAATGATGAGATTCTAATGATGAGATTTTAATGATGAGATTCTAATGATGAGATGCTAATGAGGAGATGCTAATGATGAGATGCTAATGATGAGATGCTAAGGATGAGATTCTAATGATGAGATTCTAATGATGAGATTCTAATGATGAGATGCTAATGATGAGATTCTAATGATGAGCTTCTAATGATGAGATTCTAATGATGAGCTTCTAATGATGAGATTCTAATGATGAGATTCTAATGATGAGATGCTAATGATGAGCTTCTAATGATGAGATTTTAATGATGAGATTCTAATGATGAGATTCTAATGATGAGATTCTAATGATGAGATGCTAATGATGAGATGCTCATGAGGAGATGCTAATGAGGAGATGCTAATGAGGAGATGCTAATGAGGAGATTCTAATGATGAGATGCTAATGATGAGATTCTAATGAGGAGATTCTAATGATGAGATTCTAATGATGAGATACTAATGAGGAGATTCTAATGATGAGATTCTAATGATGAGATGCTAATGATGAGATTCTAATGATGAGATTCTAATGATGAGATTCTAATGATGAGATGCTAATGATGAGATGCTAATGATGAGATGCTCATGAGGAGATGCTAATGAGGAGATGCTAATGAGGAGATTCTAATGATGAGATTCTAATGATGAGATTCTAATGATGAGATTCTAATGATGAGATTCTAATGATGAGATTCTAATGATGAGATTCTAATGAGGAGATTCTAATGATGAGATTCTAATGATGAGATTCTAATGATGAGATTCTAATGAGGAGATTCTAATGATGAGATTCTAATGATGAGATTCTAATGATGAGATTCTAATGATGAGATTCTAATGATGAGATGCTAATGATGAGATTCTAATGATGAGATTCTAATGATGAGATTCTAATGATGAGATGCTAATGATGAGATGCTAATGATGAGATTCTAATGATGAGATTCTAATGAGGAGATTCTAATGATGAGATTCTAATGATGAGATTCTAATGATGAGATGCTAATGATGAGATTCTAATGATGAGATTCTAATAATGAGATTCGAATGATGAGATTCTAATGATGAGATTCTAATGATGAGATTCTAATGATGAGATGCTAATGATGAGATGCTAATGATGAGATTCTAATGATGAGATTATAATGATGAGATTCTAATGATGAGATTCTAATGATGAGATTCTAATGATGAGATTCTAATGATGAGATTCTAATGATGAGATTCTAATGATGAGATTCTAATGATGAGATTCTAATGATGAGATTCTAATGATGAGATTCTAATGATGAGATTCTAATGATGAGATGCTAATGATGAGATTCTAATGATGAGATTCTAATGATGAGATTCTAATGATGAGATTCTAATGATGAAATTCTAATGATGAGATTCTAATGATGAGATTCTAATGATGATATTCTAATGATGAGATTCTAATGATGAGATTCTAATGATGAGGTTCTAATGATGAGATTCTAATGATGAGATTCTAATGATGAGATTCTAATGATGAGATTCTAATGATGAGATTCTAATGATGAGATTCTAATGATGAGATGCTAATGATGAGATTCTAATGATGAGATTCTAATGATGAGATTCTAATGAGGATATTCTAATGATGAGATTCTAATGATGAGATTCTAATGATGAGATTCTAATGATGAGATTCTAATGATGAGGTGCTAATGATGAGATTCTAATGATGAGATTCTAATGATGAGATTCTAATGACGAGATTCTAATGATGAGATGCTAATGATGAGATTCTAATGATGAGATGCTAATGATGAGATTCTAATGATGAGATTCTAATAATGAGATTCTAATGATGAGATTCTAATGATGAGATTCTAATGATGAGATTCTAATGATGAGGTGCTAATGATGAGATTCTAATGATGAGATTCTAATGATGAGATTCTAATGATGAGATTCTAATGATGAGATTCTAATGATGAGATGCGAATGATGAGATTCTAATGATGAGATTCTAATTATGAGATTCTAATGATGAGATTCTAATGATGAGATTCTAATGATGAGATTCTAATGATGAGATTCTAATGATGAGATTCTAATGATGAGATGCTAATGATGAGATTCTAATGATGAGATTCTAATGATGAGATTCTAATGATGAGATTCTAATGATGAGATTCTAATGATGAGATGCTAATGATGAGATTCTAATGATGAGATTCTAATGATGAGATTCTAATGATGAGATTCTAATGATGAGATTCTAATGATGAGATGCTAATGATGAGATTCTAATGATGAGATTCTAATGATGAGATTCTAATGATGAGATGCTAATGATGAGATTCTAATGATGAGATGCTAATGATGAGATTCTAATGATGAGATTCTAATGATGAGATTCTAATGATGAGATTCTAATGATGAGATTCTAATGATGAGATTCTAATGATGAGATTCTAATGATGAGATTCTAATGATGAGATTCTAATGATGAGATTCTAATGATGAGATTCTAATGATGAGATGCTAATGATGAGATTCTAATGGTGAGATTCTAATGATGAGATTCTAATGATGAGATTCTAATGATGAGATTCTAATGAGGAGATTCTAATGATGAGATTCTAATGATGAGATTCTAATGATGAGATTCTAATGATGAGATGCTAATGATGAGATGCTAATGATGAGATTCTAATGATGAGATGCTAATGATGAGATTCTAATGATGAGATGCTAATGATGAGATTCTAATGATGAGATTCTAATGATGAGATGCTAATTATGAGATTCTAATGATGAGATGCTAATGATGAGATTCTAATGATGAGATTCTAATGGTGAGATTCTAATGATGAGATTCTAATGATGAGATGCTAATGATGAGATGCTAATGATGAGATTCTAATGATGAGATGCTAATGATGAGATTCTAATGATGAGATGCTAATGATGAGATTCTAATGATGAGATTCTAATGATGAGATTCTAATGATGAGATGCTAATGATGAGATGCTAATGATGAGATTCTAATGATGAGATTCTAATGATGAGATTCTAATGATGAGATGCTAATGATGAGATTCTAATGATGAGATTCTAATGATGAGATGCTAATGATGAGATTCTAATGATGAGATGCTAATGATGAGATTCTAATGATGAGATTCTAATGATGAGATTATAATGATGAGATTCTAATGATGAGATTCTAATGATGAGATTCTAATGATGAGATTCTAATGATGAGATTCTAATGATGAGATTCTAATGATGAGATTCTAATGATGAAATTCTAATGATGAGATGCTAATGATGAGATTCTAATGATGAGATTATAATGATGAGATTCTAATGATGAGATTCTAATGATGAGATTCTAATGATGAGATTCTAATGATGAGATTCTAATGAGGAGGTGCTAATGATGAGATTCTAATGATGAGATTCTAATGATGAGATTCTAATGATGAGATGCTAATGAGGAGATTCTAATGATGAGATGCTAATGATGAGATGCTAATGATGAGATTCTAATGATTAGATTCTAATGATGAGATTCTAATGAGGAGGTGCTAATGATGAGATTCTAATGATGAGATGCTAATGATGAGATTCTAATGATGAGATTCTAATGATGAGATTCTAATGATGAGATTCTAATGATGAGATTCTAATGATGAGATTCTAATGAGGAGGTGCTAATGATGAGATTCTAATGATGAGATTCTAATGATGAGATTCTAATGATGAGATGCTAATGAGAAGATGCTAATGATGAGATTCTAATGATGAGATTCTAATGATGAGATTCTAATGATGAGATTCTAATGATGAGATTCTAATGATGATATGCTCATGAGGAGATGCTAATGAGACTGAGGAGATGCTAATGATGAGATTCTAATAACGAGATGCTAATGAGGATATGCTAATTAGATGCTAATGAGATTCTAATGAGGATATGTTAATGAGGAGGAGATCACGATGGAGGGGGGTGGGTCGTCGCAGAGGGAGAGGCGTCTCCTCACAGGGGATGTGGCGGTACCCGCTCTCCAGGGCGTGGAAGTATCGCATGAACTCCGCCACCGGGATCTTGAAGAGCGCAAAGAGGTCCGTGTCTTCAAACAAGCGGTACGTGACCTGCACCACAACCACACGGGGGGAGGGTGGCATTCACTTAGCTCTTCCTTGCGGGGTTGGGTGGTTGGGGGGGTTAATCCGGACATCCAAACCAGCGGCTCAACGTGTCCCGGAGGTCCAACTGGTTAAGGTTCGGGAGGTCGTCTCAATCCCGTCGGGAATTGCTCGCTGGTCTTAGGTTCCCCTGGAAGATCGCTCTTCGCTCAAAACAACGGCTGGCACCGTCAACCAGCCAGCCCAGCCCAGCCAGCCCAGCCAGGCCAGGCCAGCCCAGCCCAGGCAGCCAGCCCAGCCACACAGCGTTACGCAACCGATGAAAAGATAATGCCGCCCAACTCATTCGGAGTTAGACCTCTGCTGCTGTCAAACCGGAGCCGGTCATGAGGACACTGAAACTTTCGATTTAAAGCTTTCGTGACTGCAGGGATTCATCTTCTTGGTTCTTTTGGTAAAGTCACGTAGAATGGAAATAATAAAATAATAAAAATAAATTCTGTTTTATTTTTATTATTGTTTTATTTCCATTCTACGTGACTTTACCGAAAGAACCAAGAAGATGAAACTGAAACTCTCCACTCTCTCCACAACTGCCCCATCACCGATTGGGAGTTGTGTGGGTGGAGTGTCCGATGGTACAAAATACCCAGGCAGGTGCTTAGTTTTGGTGGGGCTGATGGTAAGTCCCCACCTCTTAGTGGCACGCTCCAGGTTCAGTAGCAGGACCTCCAACCCCTCCTCTGAGTGAAACGCAATTACCAGATCATCGGCATTAATAACATGGTTGCACAATAGGCAGCCATCCCTACTGTAGCAGACGGACAGAAAATATGGCATCTGTGCAGGACCGCCCTTTCCTGAAACCACATTGGGGCTCAGCAAGCCTCTCCTCAGCGTGCCCGGCAAAGCGATGTTGAATAATCCTTGCCAGGACCTTTCCCGGCAAACTGAAGAGTGAGATGCCCCTGCAGTTGTTACAGTCTGTGCGGTCCCCCTTCTTACAGAGGGGGACCACCAGGGCATCCTTCAAATCCTGCGGAACCCGTCCAGTGGTCCAGACTGTTATTATGACGTCATGTAGGGCAGTCTGTGCACAAACGCCACCCTCCCTCTGCATTTCGCTTGGGAGATCATCTCTTCCCGGTGCCTTTCCTGGTCTCAGACTCTGGATCGCCTTCAGTACTTCCTCAACAGATGGTACCTCAGCCAGCCACTCACAGGGGGTGACTTCCTCTTCCAATATTTGAGGCACCACAGCCTCAGCAGGGTTATCCCCACTTTGTGCCATGATGTTTTCCTGGCTGAGAGAATTTCCCTCCCCCAGGACCTCACAGAAATGCTCAGCAAATCTGCAAACCTGTTCCTGGGGGTCGGAGATTGGATCACTGTTCTTTCCCCTAATTATGGTAATCGGTGTGGTGCTGCAGGTTACTTTTTTAATGGAATAAAAGAGCGATTTGTGATCGCGGGCCATTGAGGCAGACTCCATCTCCTCAGCAACCCGCGACCACCAACCATCCTTGCAGTGCCTCACGGCTCTCCGAAACTGCCGATTGAAGGCTGCGGTAACCCTTCTCATTCTCCGACGTGGGATGCTGTAGACGATGAGAGTGGGCCTGTCACTTTTTCTCAGCCAGCCTGAACACCTCATCTGTCAGCCAGGGTCTCTGAGGAGGTCTGGATCATTTACCCAAAGCAGCCATTGCAGCTGAATGAGCCACAGTCCTAAACCTTTTCCATTCCCCCTCGACATCAGGAGGAGTGGGGGACGATGCCAACCTCAGCCGAATGTGATCATGAAATTCTCGCTTGCATCTTTCATCAGCTCGCTGAGACCATGCTACTATGGGTTTGCATGGGGTCCTGGGTGTACACCCACCACCGGAGTGGAAGAATAGCAGGCGCATCTTACAGATGACAAGTCGATGGTCAGTGGGCAGATCAGCTCCACGGTAGGTCCTGGTGTCAAGGACATAGGCCCACATCTGCTGTTCCGTCACTATGTAGTCTAGCAGATGTTCTTGCTTGAACCGGGCATGCATCCATGATGTTATGTGGATGTGCCGATGCCAGAACAGCGTGTTGGTAATTACAAGCCCATGGGCTGCACAAAATCTAGCAGCCTCCTACCGTTGTTATTGAGCTGATTTGGCCCATGCCTTCCAATAACTCCAGACCAGGTGCTCGCATCATGACCAACTCGGGCATTAAAGTCACCAAACAAGATGACTCTGTCCCGAGTGGCCACTTTAGTCAGCAACTGTGACAGGAGGTCATAGAAGGCATCTGACTCATTGGCCTTGCCTGCATTCCTCCACGGATGTTCGTCTTCGGTGGGGGCATAAGTAACCACGACCACCACTCCTCGCCTTCAGTTGATGGGAAGGCGAGCCCAAAGTAGCCTGGGGCTTACAGCTTCCCACACCTCACCACCACGCACCCACACCCCCTTCAATATTTTGTTCAGAAGAAAAGCCACTCCCTGTTCTTTGGCAGTCTCCTACCCCGAGTAGAGGACTGTCCACCCCTCATGGTGGCAGGAGCCAGAGCCGGCCCACCGGACCTCCTGAATACCACAGAGATGCAGGCGGTTCCGGTCCAGCTCCCGACAGAGGAGTGGCAGCCTCTCCTCCGCAGTGAGCGTTCGAACATTCCACGTGGCCACCCGTAGTGGTTTTTGGTTGTTTTTGGAGGAGCTCCGAGGGTGAAGATTCAATCTCCTGGCTCCGCCAAATGAGGTTTGGCCAGGAGACGTCATAGAAGCCTGTCCCCCCGGGGCCTCCAGCACAAACTTATTAATTACATTTTTATGTTTATATCGTAGTCTCGTGGTAATTAATTGAAGGTGGAGGGGTTACCAGCCCCTCGCACCCGTCCAGAACCCCCGTTTAGCCACTGTGGTGGTCACAGAACCCCATGAGGGGAGAGGCCAATGGGCATTGACCCTCCCCCCACAGCAATGTCCACGACAGTGTTGCCCGTCCAGCACCGCAAGGAGGTAGGAGGTTGTTTTGCCATACACATACACACACGCGTACACACACACACGTACACACACACAGATAGACACATACACACACAGACAGACACACACACAGATAGACACACACACAGATAGACAAAGATCCCCCGTATAGCCTTAACAGACTGTAGGGGCAAGTGCTGTTAGCGAGCACCTATGAAGGCCGGAACGGTACACGAGGGGGTGGGTGGCCAGCACCACGCCCGACCGCCTTTGTCTCCCTAGTGGCAATGTTTACACACCGCAACCAGGTACTCATTTGAGGCTGAGTCGACCTAGGGGAGGCCCGGGACCGGTTCAGATAAGCGTCACTGGTGTTGGACGTGAGCGGGAATCGAACTCGTGTCGCCGGGTTCATAGCGCAGCGCGCTAACCGCTACACCACCGCTCCCCACCTAGATAGACACACACACACACACAGACACCCACACAGATAGACACACACACGTACACACACAGATAGACACACACACAGACACACACACACAGACACACACAGACACACACACAGTCAAACAGACACACACACAGTCACACACACACAAACACAGACACACACACAGTCACACACACACACAGACACACGTACACACACACACAGACACACACACAAACACAGATAGACACACACAGACAGACACACACACACAGATAGACACACACACACACGTACACACACACAGATAGACACACACACACAGATATACACACATACACTTACACACACACCGGTACACACACACACACACGTTCACACACAGATAGACACACACACACAGATAGACACACACACACAGACACACACACACGTACACACACACAGATAGACACAGACACACACACAGATAGACACACACACAGATAGACACACACAGATAGACACACACACACGTACACAGACACGTACACACACACACACACACAGACACACACACACAGACATACACACAGATACACACACACACACACGTACACACACACAGATAGACACACACACACACGTACACACACACACACACAGATAGACACAGACACACACCCGTCCGTGCGCTAACCTGGCTGAGGATTTGACCGCAGGCCCCCCCGGTGAGCTCCACGAGGTCGAAGATGGGGAAGTTCCAGTTGTGGATGCCGGACATGAGCGGCTCCAGTCCCTCCATCACCACCAGGGTGGGAGAGCAGGGCAACCCTGCCTCCTCCTGGCACCAACACCAACATCACCACCATCATCACCACTACCACTATTGTAGTAAGTATCGGAGGAGACGATGTCGAAGTTGAGACACACTGTTTATTAACTCCGGGACAGATACAATAGTTGAAGGGGTATCGGCCCCTTCACCCGTACTATGGGAAACCCACCCTAGTACTAAGCCCTCTGTCCTGTCCCCCAGTCCTCCTCTACTGGGCTACGGGAGGCTCACTGATCTGGCCCTGGCAAGCACAGATCTCGGCACCAGCTAACCAGCCTTGCCCTGACAAGGGCAGCGGTCTGGAAGCTCCTGGGCCGCGCCACTGGCTTACCCGGCTCGGCCCTTATAAGGACGGCGAGACCGGGGAGTCCCAGGGCCTAATCTCCGAGTCTTGGATCTTCACTGGTCAGCTTCGTGTCGAACTGAACTCGAGCTCTTTGGGTTCCACCTTTTATAGGGATCGCCTCCGAGGGCTGGGGCGTGGGCAATAACTGATGCGGACGTCGGTGTGACCACCCGTGTATGTGAGTGCCGACAACCCTGTGTTTGTTTTCCGCCGTTTCTCCCGTAATAACCCCTACATCACCCCCCCCTGTACAGCTCGCAGCCGTCCCGGCTGCAACAATCCCTCAACCCCCAAGAATAAAGATTAACACCGTCAATACACGTGTGCCTCGTAACAGTAACAATAACAAGAACAAGCGTAACATCAACCGATGGTTCCCTATATAACAAAAAAAAACCCCCACGCAGAACCGCAATACATATACAGAACGGTATAACAGCACATGCAATCAGCATATCGCGATCACACGCGTACATTGAAGCACAATAGCAAGCAAATCTGCAGGCGACCAACACACCCTCAATCCCGTCGCAACTTTGCAACCACAACACAATTATTCTCTCTCATGCAACGACCGCATCGCACACCGCACCTCGCAGCACAATACAGCCCCAAAAAAAAACATTTTTTTTCTCTTCTCTTTTTTTTTGTCAATTAAGCCCCTCGCGCACGGTAACCCACGAGATGGTACAGCACAGGGTACCCGACGCTCCCACGTTAATAATTAACTATAGCATCAAGATAACAACTCCACGCAGCAGCGCACACACTCCCTTTGAAACTCAGCAACCACAGCAGACTTTCCGTCCATTCCCAACACACGCACACACTTACATGGACAGCAAGCAACAAGCAGATAGCGTGGTCATCGTTATTACACACACATACAACAAAAAACATATATACAATGAGCGGGTTCCGCAGCAACGGAACACGCGCGGAAAGCTAATCATAACAACCGGCGCGTCTTGGCGCGAGTCCGTGCAGCGGGCCCGTCACAAGGGGCCGGCTTGGTAGAGTCGGTGGCAGGTGTCGCATCAGCAGGTGCCTGGTCGTCCGGTTTCCCGGACGTGCCAGCGCCGCCCCCCACGGGGGAGGCTGGCAGCCAAGAGGGCTTCAGTCCTGGGGCTCCTGAAGACGGGACAGTCATTAGTGGATCAGAGGCTGGCATCGATCCCGCCCCCCCGGAGTCAGAGGACTCCCCACATGTTCGGCCATTTACGTGGGAGGAAGCGTGTGGAGCAAAAAATGGCTTTAACCGTGAAGGGTGTACAAACCACCGACGCTTCCCCCACTTAATGCGCACACATTGAGGCCGTACAACCTGCACAATTTCAACGGGGCCCCTCCATGGTCGCAACAACTTAGCCGAGGTGGCCAATGGCACCTGGGGGCAGTGCAACCATGCTCGGTCGCCCGGGTGCCATTCGTGCGTGTGAGTCCGGCGCGACCGCAACCTCTCGTTTTGTTTCTGGCGGGAGTCAGAGTTTTGCATGGCCGCCTGCCGTGCCTCCGCCAAGCGAAGGATGTTGAATTTAACATGGTCGGCGATTTTTGACTTAGCATGAGGCGCGGCAATCGCCAGCTGAGTCGCGACAGGCGGGTCAACCTCGCGACCATACATCAAAAAAAATGGCGAGAAACCGGTCGCCGCGTGAGGAGCCATCCTGTATGCCGCCAGGACTCCCCCGATCCGTAGATCCCAATCGTTTTGGGACTCAGATACCTGGTGGGATAGCATGGACGTAAGAGTCCTATGCAAGCGTTCCACCATCCCATCCGTCTGTGGATGGTAAGGCGAGGTACGAACTTTCTTTGTACCCAGAAGGCCACATACCTCGTGTAAAAGGGTACTAGTGAAATTCTTTCCCTGATCGGTCAACAACCGTTCCGGAGCGCCCTTGTCGAGGACGTAGCCCTGAACAAAAGCCTCCGCAACGGCCGCTGCGGACTGGTTGGCGAGGGGCCAAGCCATAGGCCATCGCGTGAAATATTCCACGCCAACCAGCAGGTACTTATTACCCCTCGGCGTGGAAGGAAACGGTCCCAAAATATCAAGGGCGACCAGCTCGTTAACCCGGGTGACCGAAATGGACTGGAGCGGTGGACTGGCTCCCTTCGCCGGCGGCTTCCGTTGTGCACACTGGGTACAGGACCGCAGCAGATTGTCCACGTCTCTTGCCATGCCCGGCCAAAAGTAATTAAGCTGGAGCGTGGCAAGTGTTTTGAGGGTACCCAGGTGCAAGAGCCGTTCATGAGCAGCCCATACAGCCCTACCCCTCAACGTGGAAGGCACCACCAGCCTGTGACGGCGGATCGTCCCGTCCCAATGCATGAGTACGCCTTGGCACCACCCCCATGAGTCAACGCCCGACTTCCCTGGACCCGATCCTTCCGCGCGACGTCGTAGTGCCAGGAGGGTCGCATCCTCCATTTGGAGGCGGCCCCACTCAGCACTCGACAAGCCAAGTAGGGAATCACTCCCACCCCCCGAAATAGGACCAGCGTCCGAAGGAGTATCAACTGCGGCCGCAAGAACCCGATCCTGACCGTCACTTGCCGATTTGCAACGGCCCGAACCCAAGAAACAAGTGCAATCCGGGGCGATCGGCAGGCGTGATAGGGCATCGGCATTGGTGTGGCGAATCCCCTTCCGGTAAGTTGTTTCAAAATCGAAATCCTGCATGATCTCGAGCCATCGGGACAACTGCCCCGATGGCTGGTTAATTCGTAGGGCATACTGCAACGCCGCATGATCTGTACGGACGGTGAAATGCCGGCCGTACAGATATGGCCGGTACTGTTGGATAAAGAACACGATAGCCAACAGTTCGCGGCGGGTGACGCAGTACCGCTGCTCGGCCGGGGACAGTACTCTACTACCATAAGCCACAACGCGCTCCACGCCACCCACAATTTGTGACAGCACGCCTCCAATCCCGGTATTGCTCGCGTCCGTGTCGAGCACGAACGGCATGGAAAAATCGGGGTAACTTAACGGCGGGGCCCCCACCAGGGCATCCCGAAGAGAGACAAAAGCGGCGTTCTCTACCGCTCCCCAATGAAATTTGACCCCTTTTGACGTCAAGGCATGTAGTGGCTTAGCGATGGAAGCAAAGTCCGCAACAAACCGACGGTAATATGAAGCAAAGCCGATGAAGCTTCTAACCTCCCCCACCGAGGTTGGGGTAGGCCAGGAGCTGACACAACGCGTTTTGGCGGGATCGGTTGAGATACCTGACCGGCCGACGATGTGACCCAAATATTTAACAGATTCGCGCAGCAAATGGCACTTTTGTGGCTTGAATTTCAAATTTGCAGCGCGCATCTTGAGAAAGACGGCCCGAAGCCTATCAAGGTGTTCCTCGAACGTCTTACTGAATACGATAACGTCATCCAGGTAAATCAAACACACCTCCCATTGCAAGCCAGCGAGGACCAATTCCATCAGGCGCTGGAACGTCGCGGGAGCAGAGTGTAATCCCATGGGTAAGCGATTGAATTGGAAGAGGCCGTGCGGCGTTCGGAAAGCAGTTTTGGGTCTAGATTCGTCGTCCAAGGGAAGTTGCCAAAATCCTGAGAGCAAATCCAAAGTGGAAAAGAATCGCGATCCCGCGAGGGCATCCAGCGATTCGTCCATTCGAGGAAGCGGATAAGCATCGGCCACCGAGATCTTATTTAATCGCCGGAAATCAACGCAGAACCTTAGGGACCCGTCGTGCTTTTTAACCAACACTATGGGTGCACCCCAAGGGCTGGTTGAGGGAGAAATGATGTCCGATTTCAACATGTCATCTACAGCCGATTTGACATGATCCTTTTCGGCGGGACTTAACCGAAAAGGATTCTGGCGGATAGGAGCGTTGTCACCGGTGTCAATATGGTGGCGTAGCAATTCGGTACATCCGATATCGTATTTATGTTTACTGAAGACGTCGGAAAATTCTCGCAATAAGGCGCGTAATTTAGCACGTTGTGCGTCGGACAGGTCAGGTGACTCAGCACACAACGCATCCAGCCAACCCTCGTCAGCGTCTGAGGCTAATCGCGTTTGAGAATCGGTGGCCACCTGGCCAACGATCGGCGTTTCCGCAGGTACCGGAACCGCATGTGCGAACACGGTACCTTGCGAAACCACTGCCGTCTGTGTCCCGACATTAAGGACCGCGATAAACGGGTCCCCATCCCCTTTAACAATAGTCTGGGCCGTTACCAGATCTGGCCCACACACCCCGGCTCTAGATGGTCCCAAAATAACGCCTCGGTCAGAGACCCCTTTATCGAACGGACGACGCAAGCGCAGGGGTACCAACATCTGTGCCCCCGGGGGTACACGCACCGTCCGAGCAACAAGCGCCTGTACCGTAGCACAGGCAACACGCACGGCAGGGGTGGCAGGTAGGAACGTCATACGTCGGCCTGATGGAAGCTCGATGCATTGCTGGTCAATCAGAATTTTGATGGGCAATTTGGCCAAAAAGTCTGTCCCCAACAGGCACGGAATAGCCAGCGAGGAAGAGACGAACACCGGCCCAGATAGTTTAATGTCCCCTATCGAAATTTGCGCTCGAATTTGACCGATAATACCCAACGAGCCCCCATTTGCAGCGTAAAACGGTATATCGACAGGGAGCAACGGGCGACTCTGAACGGGCAGGATATTATAAATCAAATCCGAAATGATAGTTGCCGAAGCTCCCGTATCGACCAATAACCGTACCTCCACCCCGTCAATATGTCCCGCGACAACGGACGACCCCGCCGATGCAGCCACAACTCGGTGAGCCAACTCGGACCATTGGCCCGGTTGGAGCGCCCTCCCCGACATGCCGCGACCCGACGCACCAGCACCCAACCCCCGAGAATTGTGTGTCGGACCATGTGATAGGAAAGTGGGTGTGTGTGCAGGCCGAACATGTGGGGTGCCATGACTTGCCCGAGGATGTTGCGAAGGCTTGTGAGGAGGGCCGTCCGCAGCTCCAGGTCTCGCACCGCGCTGTCGAGGAGCCCGGCATCCGGACGCCACGTGGCCCCGGAGGCCACAATTATAGCAGACGACGAGCGTTCCAGAGGACTTGGGCTGGTCTCGGTGGCTTGGGACGTCCCGAGCTGGACGCTCGGCAGATCGCCATCCTGCAGAACGATCCGCAGCGAAGGCTCCCTCCATTCCGGAAGAGGTCGCCGCCACGGTGTGTCGTGCAGCTGCTTTGTTCGCCTTCCTCCGCTGGGAGATGAGATTGGCGTGAATGTGCCTTGCAGCCCGCAGTGATGACATATCCGCATCGTCCTGCGCTAAGATGGTGAAGTCCAGATCGTCAGCCAGCAGCAAAATTTTCTCGGCCACCATCGCATCGATCCCCTCTTCATCCATACGCGGGAAAGCGTCTTTCGCCAATGACAGCAGGGCCGTGCGATAAGCGAGTGGCGATTCCTTGTCACCCTTCTGCCGCTCATAGAAGAGCTGGCGACAGTCAGAGGGCGGCCCATAAACGGTGGCCAGCAGCTGCAGCGCCGACTGAATGGTGGAGCGTGCCGACTTGGGTGCAGCAGTGAGGGTGCCCAGGGCATCGCCGTCCAATAACGCCGGGAGAGCACACAGCGCCTCGTTGTCCGACCAGCCTGCCATCTCTTGGTGGGCCAAGAACCGGCGCTGGAACCCCCCCAATCGCCGTCGCTTGCAACAAATACCTGCAGGGCCGGCAGACGTTGCTGGAATGTCGGCTCCGTCTCCGATCCTCTTGCAGCATCCGTAGCGCGTCCCCGTACAGTATGAGTAATGGCGGACTCTAATGGGTGTCGCGCCGTCAGTGACGTGTTGGTCGGGGCTCGGTCGGTGCTGGCGTCCGCTGGTGGTGACGTCGCAACCCCTGATAGGCCGCCACCGCGACCCGCCTCCGCCGATGACGTGGCGGCTGCTGGCTGGGCACCGTCCCCCGCGTGACGAGCTGGGACTCCTCCCTCCGCCCCTACTGTCTGTGAGGCGGGAATTTCGAGTCGCCCCGCTGTTGTAAAGGCGGGAGTTTCTGGCGGGCGTTGTCCATCTTCCCGCCGCGTCGCTCCTCCCGGCCCCAGGCGAGTTATTTGTTCGAGCATAGCGGCCGCTGCATACAAGAGCTCCGCCAGCCGTGAGTGAGCCAACGCCAACTCGTCAGTCGACGTCCCGGCCCTCTCCGACGACCCCGCCGATGTCGGAGCCGGCAGCAGTTGTGCAGGTACGTCGGAGGCGATGTCTTGCACTGCCCCTCCCTCGTCGTCATCCTCTCCTGGGTCTTGGGCACGAGTCTTCCGTCTCGTATCCATGCTTGGACCACTTCTAACACCAGATGTAGTAAGTATCGGAGGAGACGATGTCGAAGTTGAGACACACTGTTTATTAACTCCGGGACAGATACAATAGTTGAAGGGGTATCGGCCCCTTCACCCGTACTATGGGAAACCCACCCTAGTACTAAGCCCTCTGTCCTGTCCCCCAGTCCTCCTCTACTGGGCTACGGGAGGCTCACTGATCTGGCCCTGGCAAGCACAGATCTCGGCACCAGCTAACCAGCCTTGCCCTGACAAGGGCAGCGGTCTGGAAGCTCCTGGGCCGCGCCACTGGCTTACCCGGCTCGGCCCTTATAAGGACGGCGAGACCGGGGAGTCCCAGGGCCTAATCTCCGAGTCTTGGATCTTCACTGGTCAGCTTCGTGTCGAACTGAACTCGAGCTCTTTGGGTTCCACCTTTTATAGGGATCGCCTCCGAGGGCTGGGGCGTGGGCAATAACTGATGCGGACGTCGGTGTGACCACCCGTGTATGTGAGTGCCGACAACCCTGTGTTTGTTGTCCGCCGTTTCTCCCGTAATAACCCCTACACTATCACCATCATCACCACCACTACCTCCATCACCACCATCACCACCATCACCACCATCACCACCACCAGGGCGGGAGAGCAGGGCAACCCCTCCTCCTCCTAGCACCAACACCAACATCACCATCACCACTACAACCACCATCACCACCATCACCACCACTACCATCACCACTATCACCACCGTCACCACCACCGTCACCACCACCGTCACCACCAGCACCACCAGCACCATCATCACCACCACCACCGTCACCACCACCACCATCACCACCACCACCACCACCACAACCGTCACCACCATCACCACCACCGTCATCATCGTCAACAACATCACCACCGTCACCACTGTCACCACCACCATCACCACCACCACCATCACCACCACCATCACCACCACCACCACCGTCACCACTGTCACCACCACCATCACCACCATCACCACCATCATCACCACCATCACCACCGTCACCACCACCGTCACCACCATCACCACCACCACTACCGTCACCACCACCGTCACCACCACCACCATCACCACCACCATCACCACCACCACCGTCACCACAATCACCACCACCATCACCACCACCACTACCGTCACCACCACCACCATCACCACCACCATCACCACCACCATCACCACCACCACCACCGTCACCACTGTCACCACCACCATCACCACCATCACCACCATCATCACCACCATCACCACCGTCACCACCACCGTCACCACCACCACCATCACCACCACCACCACCACTACCGTCACCACCACCACCATCACCACCACCATCACCACCACCACCACCGTCACCACTGTCACCACCACCATCACCACCATCACCACCATCATCACCACCATCACCACCGTCACCACCACCGTCACCACCACCACCATCACCACCACCGTCACCACTACCACCACCACCACCACCACCACCACCACCACATTCATCACCACCACCACCATCACCATCACCGTCACCACCACCACCACCACCGTCATCACCACCATCACCACCACCGTCACCACCGTCACCACCGTCACCACCACCGTCACCACCACCGTCACCACCACCACCATCATCACCACCACCACCGTCACCACCACCGTCACCACCATCACCACCACCACTACCGTCACCACCACCGTCACCACCACCACCATCACCACCACCATCACCACCACCACCGTCACCACCATCACCACCACCATCACCACCACCACTACCGTCACCACCACCACCATCACCACCACCATCACCACCACCACCACCGTCACCACTGTCACCACCACCATCACCACCATCACCACCATCATCACCACCATCACCACCGTCACCACCACCGTCACCACCACCATCACCACCACCGTCACCACTACCGTCACCACCACCACCACCACCACATTCATCACCACCACCACCATCACCATCACCGTCACCACCACCACCACCACCGTCATCACCACCACCGTCACCACCACCACCATCACCACCACCATCACCACCACCACCACCGTCACCACTGTCACCACCACCATCACCACCATCACCACCACCACCACCACGACCACCACCATCACCACCACCATCACCACCGTCACCACCACCGTCACCACCACCACCACCACCATCACCATCACCACCATCACCACCACCATCATTACCACCACCACCATCACCACCACCATCACCACCACCACCATCACCACCACCATCATCACCACCACCATCACCGTCACCACCACCACCACCACCGTCATCACCACCACCATCACCACCACCATCACCACCACCACCGTCACCACCATCACCACCACCATCACCACCACCGTCACCACCGTCACCACCACCACCACCACCACCATCACCACCGTCACCACGACCACCATCACCACCATCACCGTCACCACCGTCACCACCACCATCACCACCACCACCGTCACCACCATCACCACCACCATCATCACCACCATCACCATCACCACCATCACCACCATCACCACCATCACCACCACCACCATGGGGGGGAGGGGTTGTGGGGTTACCTGGGCCTCAGCGAGGGGCAGCAGGAGCTTGGAGGGGAGGGGCCGGCTCCCCCCGCTCCCCCCGCTCCCCCGCCCCCCCCACCCCCCCCACCCCCCCCGCCCCCCCCGCGCCCCTCCCCCTCCTCCGCGTGGTTGTTCTCCATGGAGCTGTCATAGTCCGAGGTGAGGGCCGTGACGTCATCTGGGGGGGGGGAGCAGCGAGG